TCTTTCCTTATCCCTTTCTCCTTCCTTTGGCTTTCTTCAACTCTCTCTTTACTTTCTCTTTTCCCTATCAACATTGATCTTTTACCCTCAGAATTCTCAAAGACATGATATTTCTTTATTTTTGCTGCGTTCCTTTTTTTTTCCGAGGGAAAGTTCAGCCACCTTTACTTTGCTTTCCAACCTGTGACCATAATTACGTCATTAGAAGTAGATAAAAAAAAAAATTGGAAGGGACAACTTCCCCTAGAAGCTTCCGGTGACCTATATTTTGAGCCCCTGAGCAAGGAGTAAAAAATATTCTGAATATTCCTTGAGACGAGAAATAAGTAATGGATTTATTTTTAATCCGACATTTTGAAATAAATTTGAATTTATTTTTAATCCGACATTTTAAAATAAATTTTAATGTATTTTTAATCCGACATTTAAAAATAAATTTAAATTCATTTTAATCCGACATTTTAAAATAAATCTAAATTTGTTTTTAATCCGACATTTTAAAATAAATTTAAATTTATTTTTAATTCGACACTTTAAAATAAATTTAAATCTATTTTTAATCCGACATTTTAAAATAAATTTAAATTTATTTTTAATCCGACATTTTAAAATAAATTTAAATTTATTTAAATCCGATATTTTAAAATAAATTTAAATTTATTATTAATACTATTTAAAAAAAAAAAATCAGTAATTCTTTTTAAATTGTTTTCTTGACATTTCGGATACTAAATCAATCAGATTTGGGATTTCGAGAAAATCTAAACGGAAGGAAATGTATCCTTAAAAAGATGTAAATAATACATTGCCTGATTATGACGATCTTTCTGACCGATAGCTCTAAAGAACGCAGGTTCAAACCTTGGTTTATCCTAAAAAAAATGAGCAGCAAAGTCGAACCGTACCAAAGATCACATATATTTTAAGTATTGCCGACACTCAATACACAATGCTTGAAATAAAAACAAAATAAACGAGTCGTCTCTTTCGGACAGGGATATCCACTAGAAATAGTAATAAAATTGTTTACATCTACACTCTATGACCGATACTAGGTACGTTTCTCCCGTAAATAATCTCAATCTGTTCATATCTATTTCAGTCTGTTCATATCTATCTATCTATCTATCTATCTATCTAGCGAATTACGTTAATAAGTGACCACTCGTATTCGAGGGTACCCGTCTACTAGGGCGGCAGTTAATCCCTATTTCAGATGCTTGCTCAGGCGCATTTTGTCTTTGTTCAACGCCCACAGAGCCCACCTGCGGTTTTATACTACTGAGTAGAACTTAGTTACACTTTTTGGAATACAAGCGTATTATGTAGCGTGATCAACAATCTGAACGAGGCAAGCACGCTAAAAAAACCTCGGTCATGATGACTTGTAACTTCCTGCTAGCATAGCCATCGACGGCCCCCAAGTGTTAATTGTTGTATTTTGCTTGTTTTTGATGCGATGGTCGATATGTGCACGAACTGCATTAAGTTACGATAAGTGACAAGTTAACCTACGAGAGAATGTAGTGCACGGGTGACAAATAGAAAACGAAATTTATTATTATTATTATTATTATTATTATTATTATTATTATGTCCTTTGATCTCTGGTGTCGACTCATTACTTTCCGGGTCTCGACCAGAGATCTAAGGCTAGAAATGGTATCATGACATTTTCCACTGAGCAATTATGAAAAATGTCACACATATTTTACAATAGATAAACCCTTTATTCTGTACTTGTGAGAATTTTTTAAAAAATTTCTTTAAGGCATGGGGTACCAGGAATATGATTATTATTACTTTATTTCCGTTGATTCCTGGTGTACACATTTCTTTCCAGGTTCCTCCCAGAGACATAAGTTTAGAAATGGCATCATGACATTTTCTGGTGACCGATTAATAAACACACAAACACATATATATTTTACATAGATAAAGCCCTTCATAAGGTGTGCTCTGTACTCGTGAGAACATTTTTTGCATTTCTTTAAGGCATGGACTTCCAGGAATCCCTTCAGTTAGTCTACTGGAATCTTTACCAACCAATACAAGGGCTCCAACTACAACAGGGATTGTTGATGTTCCCATATGCCAGATTTTTGAGATTTCGATTTCAAGGTCCTTGTATTTTGATAGTATTTTTGATCTTCAAAGATACATTGCAGTCAGCAAGGAATACCATCTCAATAAGGAGGCACTTTTTTTGTTTGCGGTCTCTAATAAAAATGTCTAGGCGGTTAGCTTTGATTGTTCTGTCTGTGTGTATTGTTTAATCCCATAGAATTGTAACAGGTCCTATCTCCGTAAACCGGGTCTGGGTGGTGTTCATGCCAGTTTCTTTCAGTTTCCTTCCCGTAGAAGTCGCAAATTTTCCAGTGCAGATATTGGCCCACTATGTCATGCCGGGTTTTATATTCAGTGGGTGGCAATACCGTGAAACCGGATACAAGATGATCAATAGTTTCTGGATATTTATCACAGAATCTGCATTTTGAGCTAACCCAATATTTTAGTATGTGTGTTTGATAATTTCGAGTTAACAATTACTGGTCCAGTGCAGCAAGGATAAAAACCTTCCGTTTCAACTTTTAACCCTGCAGCTTGTTTGGTACGGGGAGAGTATTGGGCATTGACTCCGTTTATCATACCATTGTTTCTGTAGCTGCTCGGTTGCATTTGTTGTCTCCTTTCTTTTTTATGTATTTTGAAGCTTCAGTCGGTGTATTGTGCTTTACTTGTATTTCTGCACCCATTTGAAACTTCATTGTGTGCTTGTTGGCTTTTTTTTTCATGACGGAATAAAGACTCTTACTACTTTCATGTTCTTTGACACATATCATCATCCAGTCTTCTGTAGCTTCCAGGTATCTTTGAAGGCCAATTATTATTATTATTATTATTATTATTATTATTATTATTATTATTTTGATTTCTAGCGTTGACACATTTCTTTCTGGTTCCCGCCCAGAGACCTAAGGTTAGAAATGGCATGATGACACTTTTCACTGACAAAAAAAAAAAAAATACATGGATAAAGCTCTTCGTAAAGTGTGGGCTGTACTTGTCAGAACAATTTTTTATATATCCTTGAGGCATGGACTTCCAGGAATCCCTTCAATTAGTCTACTGCAATCTTTTCCAACCAGTCCTAGGGCTCCAACTACAACAGGGATTGTTGATGTTTCCATATGCCACATTTTCGAGATTTCTATTTCAAGGTCCTTGTATTTTGAGAGCTTTTTGAATATCTTCAAAGATACATTGCAGTCAGCAGGGACTGCCATATCAATAAGGAGGCAATTTTTTGTTTGTGGTCTTTAATGAACAATATCTGGCCGGTTGGCTTTCATTTTTCTGTCAGTGTGTATTGTGTAGTCCCAGAGAATTGCAACAGGTCCTATCTCCGTAACCGGGTCTGGGTGGTCTTCATACCAGTTTTTTTTCAGTTTCCTTCCCGTAGAAGTTGCAGATTTATTATTATTATTATTATTATTATTATTATTATTATTATTTTCTTTGATATCATCTTAATACCTTGTAATTAATGCAAGGATTGCGGGCCACGACCTGTAGCCTCACTTATCATTGAAATTTCCCGCTGACTCGAATTGTTAATCAATTCCCGGATTATTCTAATCAGTCATCGGTAGTTTCTTTCTTCTCACACTGGGTAGTCAATGCCAGTATTCTTTGTCCATGTTTCCATTCTGCCCGAAACCGTACCAAGTTCACTAATAACAACTATAATGATTTGTGAACTACTTCAACTTAAAAAAAAAAACCTTGCGGGTTCTATTATTGTCATTAAACAAGAAAATTGACGCAACTCTTCCAAGATTTTTTTTTAACGCTTAGAAAAAAATTGCGATTTAAGAAAAGAAATAGAAAAAGAAAAGACACTGTGTTTGACAATGTCCAACAATATTTCGAAATATGCCTACCTTCTTCGAGTTATATTTAAAATTGTATACAATATTATTTTATTTTAAAAAAAAGTCTCAAGAAAATGGCTGTACTGGTGATCGATGATTAACAGTATAGCTATTTTCTCAAGAGAAGCGATATTTTTACAAAACTTATCATACCTATTGCAGAATTTATGTTGAACATTGTGAAATAATGACATTTCCTTCTTTTTTTTTGTTTTCTTAAATCCCGCTCTTTTCTAATTATTATTAGTATTATTATTGTTTTAATACCTTTTATTATTAATTATTATATATATATATATGTTATTATATATTATATATCATTAGATATTATATTTTTTACATTTCGATTTCAACGTCCTTGTATTTTGATAGTTTTTTTGAAGATCTTTTTGAAGATACATTGCAGTCTGCCATATCAATATGGAGGCACATTTCGTCTTTGCGGTCTCTAATCACGATGTCAGGGCGATTAGCTTTGATTGATCTGCCTGTGTGCATTGTAAAGTCCCATAAAATTGTTACAGGTCCTATTTCCGTAACCGGGTCTAGGTGGTGTTCATACCAATTTCTTGCAGTTTCCTTTCCACAAGCCTTACAGATTTTCCAATGAAGATATTGGCCCACTCTGTACTGCCGTATTTTATATTTAGTGGGTGCCAATACCGCGCAAACTGATACAAGATGGTCAGTTGTTTCTGGATATTTTGGACTCGCACTATTATTATTATTATTCTCCTCCCTTCATTCCTTAATTACTTACCATATATGTTACGCCTTGACAATACATAATACATAATATACTGTTCCTTTTGAGCGCGAGGAAAGACGGAAGAAAATATATCAGAGATGCTGTTTTGCTTGCGTGAGAAAAAGAAAGAAATGGAATAAAGAAAGAAAGAAAGAAAGAAAGAAAGAAAAAGAAAGAAAAAAGAAAGAAAGAAAAAAGAAAGAAAGAAAAGATAGAGATGAAGCGATAACTCTCATGTTTTTAGCGCCTGCTTCAGTGAAACAGAGAAACCGATCAGTTTTTGAAACTTTCCATTTGTAGCCTCATACTTAAGGTTTACAATCACACCACGTTGAAACAGCCGTTCCCGTACGATCACCGCATTTAAGCAACCTCGAGCCTGGTCATTACCTACATGGGTGACCGCTTGGAAATACCAGGTTCTGTAAGCTTGGATGTTCGGATGGTGTAATTGTTAATCGGAGAGCCGAGTTCCAATTCCCGCTCGGTCCGTTATATTCACTTACGCCATTGAGAAAAGTGTGAAGCCAGTTTTTCTCTCCAGCTATGGGTTAATTAGTAAAATTAATTGTTTAATTCACTGAAGGTTATTTAAAGCTAGAAAAAATATTTAGATTAAATTTTTGTGTAAGAGGGAGATAATAATACATGAAACAATAAACAATTCAGTTATTAAGAAGAAGAATTGAAATTAATGCACGCAAGATTAAAGAGTTTTAACCTAATTCCTTCATATTCAGCCTATGAACTTTTCAGCCCGCACTGGTATTTTTTCTTTTCTTTTTCTTTTTTTTTTTTCTTCTCTTTTCACTGAGTATTCATTAGGTTCCCGGCATTATTTTAAAATTCTAAAAATGTTCTTCTATGATTTTTCTTTTTCATTTTCTTTTCTCCTCTTTCTTTTCTCTTTTTCCTTGCTTTTTCCTTTTCCTATTGTCTTTTTCTTTTATTTCTTTTCTTTCTTTTCTCTTCTTTTTCTTTTTCATTTTCGTTCATTTTATCTTCTTTCATCTTCTTTCTTTTCTCTTATTTTTCTTTGATTTTTTCTTTTTCTTTTCTCTTCTTCTTTATTTTTCTCTTATTTTTCCTTGTCTTTTTCCCTTCTTCTTCTTCCATCTCTTTTCTTTTCGCTTCTATTTCTTTTTCGTTTCTTTTTCTTCTTTCTTCTTCTTTTTTTCCCTTTCCTTTCACTTCTATCATTCTCCTTTTACCTTCTCTACTCTTTCTTTTCTTTTTCCTTTCCTTTTCCTTTTATCATTCCATTTTTCTTTATCGTCTCTCCTTCCTTTTCTCTTCTTTTTCTTTTTCGTTTATTTTATCTTCTTTCATCTTCTTTCTTTTCTCTTCTTTTTTTTTGAATTTTCTCTTTTTCTTCTCTCCTCATCTTTCTTTTCTCTTCTTTTCCTATTCCTTTTTTCTTTCCTCTTCTTTCTTTTCTCCTCTTTTTCTTTTACTTTTCCCTTTTCTTATGTTCTCTTCTTTTTCTTTTCGATTTTCCTTTTTCTTCTCTCTTCTTTCTTTCTTTCTTTTTTTCTTCCTATGTTTCTTTCTCGTTTCGTTTATTATAACCACTTGTTACCCATGACTTCTTTGTAGTTCTCTTTTATTCCTCTTCATCTCTCTCAACATCATCTCTTTTCTTCCATCTTTCTTTCTTTCTTTCTTTCTTTTCTTCCCCTTTTTTTTAATCTTTTCTTTCTCTCCAATCGCATCCACTTCAGGTGCACTGTTCTCAGAAATAACTGCCATTCCATTTTGAGCAGGCCAAATCAATAGAGTAACATTTATTACATATTATCGATCATAAACTCCTTCGATCCGTAGAGACGCGCTTTCAACTCAGACTGCCCCCAAGTATTTTATAACATTTTTGTTCATTATTTTCGTTTTGCTTCATAACATTGAGTTACCATGACACCGGAAATATAGTTCTTTTGAGACAGCAGACGAGAAGGAAAAAAATTCAATTATTTCATGGATAATCCGTTTCATATATACTTTTTGCTGTTTTTTTTTAACGTCGCAGGGATCTAGAAAATGTTTACAATAGTATTTTTTCATGAATATACATGCGTCGGTATTTACGTGCGTCTGTGTGATTCGTGACTGGGTGTGTTTGCACGTCTTTCTATGGCTGCATATGTCCGTGTCTATAATCATATGTGTTTGTGTTTCCTGTTTATTTCGTGTATTTTTAATATGTATCCCTGCAACTTGTAATATGTAATTTTTTTTTGTTTTATTTTTCCCCGCTGTCTGCTTGCTCCCACTATATACTAGTAGAAACATCTGACGACATATAGTGATTTTCCAAGCCCGGTTTAGATGTGGCACAAGGCTGAATGTATGGGGCACCCTGTGAGGATAGAACTCACTACTCAGTCGTAATTGATCTAGAAAGACAAGCTTTCTAACCATTACACCAGGTCGAGGTACCCAAAGATTTTCAAAGCGTAGCTTAGATGTGGCACAAGGCCGAAGATCTGGGGCACCTTGTCAGGATAGAAATCACTACTCAGTCGTAATTTATCTAGCAAGACAAGCTTTCTAACCATTACACTACGTCGAGGTACCTAAAGATTTTCAAAGAAGAGCTTAGATGTGGCACAAGGCCGGAGGTATGGGGCACCCAGTGAGGATCGAACTCAATACTCAGTCGTAATTGATCAAGCAAGACAAGCTTTCTAAACATTACACCACGTCGAGGTGCCCCAGATGACGAGATACATGGCGGAAAATATATTTATCTGGGGCAAAAAAAACACTGAATTATTCTTCTTCTTTATGTAGGCTAACATGGCTTTCCACATCTTCCTGTCCCTTGTAGCTTTTACTAAATGTTGTCTTTTTTGCTATTTCTCCCAAACGCTGTTCTACCATCCATTTATTCAAATTTGTCAAGTATGTTACGCGCTATTCTCCTTTTAACCTCAATCTTTCCTGTGAGTATCAGATTTTCCAAGCCCTCCTTTCTAATCACGTACCCCAGTAATTTCAAAACGCCTCTTCCTGATGTTAAGTATACGTTTCTTTTTCGTTTCTATTTTCTCTAAAACCTGATAGTTGCTCACATATTTCGGTCCATCTTATCCTCAGCACCTTTCTGTAGAACGACATTTGTGATGCTTCAAGTCTCTTCTTCATCTTTGAAGATACTGTTTCCGAAATCACTGTGATATATGCAAACTGAAATTACGTAACTGTTCATTGCCCTTTTACCTTGTTCCTAAAGATTTTTTTCTGTCTCTGCTTAGCTTTTTTTAATGCCAATTTGGCTATCCAAATGCGTCTTCAGATCTCAGTGTTGCACTTTCCGCCCTCTGCTAGAAATAGTGAAGTTTTCCTAGTACCGCTCCAGAAATTACCCGACTCTTCCTGTCGTGCAGATCCGATTACAAATTAACTCTTTACTGCCATATATGTAGTTGCACTCCTCAGCCCTTACATTCCAGCCTCCTGTTCAGACTTCACAAGAGTTTATACGAAGTTGTTGTGAATTATATTATTTTCAAAGATAGAACCTCTCTCCCACCGACTAAACATCGCAACCGCTTCGCCATTTTTATAGAAAATATATAAGCATAATATAATAATGTTCCTGTTTAAGAGTATGTCCGTTCAGTTCTGTAAAATTGGTAACTGATAAAAAAAAATCATAGTCTGTTTTCAGCTGGGATAAAGAATGGTTTGCTAATTTTAAATTTATTAAGGGGGTGTTGGCGTTTTTACGAAAGAAAAAAACTGTATCTTTGTGTGGCAAATTTAAAGTCAGTTAAGGTTGGTGGGGGTTTAAGATTTCTATCTGGCTACACTGACTCTCTTTCAAGCTGTCAAGTTATTACTGTCTAGTTTATTTTATCTTATTAAGGTTTATGTTACAATATATTTGGCATTTGTTATTCATTTTCTTTCTTAAAACTACATTGAGATTTTCTTAACGGGTTTTCACATATGATTAAGTCATGTCTTTTTTATATTTATATTTTTATTTATAAATAATTAAAATGCAATATTTATTCACTTTACTAATAGACTATATGAACTGTACAGTAATATTAACTTATTAGACTTTAATTACGCATTTATAAAGTATTTAATTTATGATCAAATAATATATATAAATATGTGAATTATTTTTTTATAATTTATTACTTGTTTAAGCGTATATAAGACAATGTCTACAGAAAACTGTTATTTTATTTCTTTGATTTAATACATTTTTATTTTTCAGAAAACTAAAAATGTATAACCTTTGGCATAAAGAACATGGATCATTCAAAGATCTGCAAGTTCTTGTTTTTATATCAGTTTCCATTTTACTCTTGGTGTTTTATTTGTTTCTCTTAATTACCAAAAATATTTGGATAGGGATGTTTGGTTACGCTACTTAATATTATTGAAGGAAGTCAAATGTTACCTCCATCTTAATTTAAATTTATTTTTGTACATCCTATATAGATTTTCACAACATGAGGAATCTCAATGAATGAGATAGTGCATTGGTAAACTATGGATTCTGCGTGGCATACATTATTTAAAGAGCAATTTTCAGGATTCCTACAGTTACATAATTTTTCTTTATTATTGTTTATTCTTATTTCATGATCTCTATTTCTTTGATTCTGGCATAAGTATTTATTCAAGATTTTATTATTAACATTTTTTTATAATCCTTTCTAAATTTTCAGTACAGATATACCTTAATTTTAGGGTATTTTTATTTAAAAAATAGCTAAGTTTACTATTTCTGGGAAAATGTTTATTTATTAGAACCAGACATTTTTGTTCTAACTTACTATTAAGTTTATAGTAAGTTAGGACAAAAATGGTGAAATGCGTTATAAATCTGGAAAAATATTCACTGTGGACAAAATAGTGATAAAAGTACTTTCTAGACATGTTCGTCTTAGTAAATTATGTCCTACTTTTTTAGCAACTTTTTTATGTCAAAATAGTGGTCATTCACGTTACAGTGAGAAACTAATTTGTTTAACGTGTAGTTTTTTAATGTTTCTTTTGCGTGCATAAAATATTTTATTTAAATCTCTATCTATATCTGCAATCTATTCTTTCTGACAATCCTTGCGAGTGATAGAGTAAATTCTTCCTTCAAGTTTTGTCTCTTGGTTTTGTTTTGTATTGATTAATTATTTTATCGTTTTAGATGTACTTGTGACAAATTCTATGTTGAATTTAGATAAATTCTTATCAATTGTAGTTGTGATGGAGTTAGTAGGTAGAACAATATATTTTTTGATTCGTTGGGTTTGTGAGGAGGGGCCGCTTTTCTATTTCGGGATATTTTATGAGCCTTTTGTTATTGGATATGAAATAGGATATTAGGGGTCTTAAACGTATTTTCAATATATTTCTCATCTTCGTGTAAATATTGAGGGCTGCAAATTCTGAGTGCTCTTAAGTAGAATCCAATGATTATTCCGGATTTTATTTTGTTGTTATGACGGGAATAGAAATTTATGAGATCATTTTTATTAGTTGATCTTCGGTGGATACTACGTTTTAAGCTGTTATAGCATGATATCTAGGAAAGGTAAAGTATTGTTTTCATCTCTATTTGGATTGAATATCCCATATAAAGGCAAAAGTGGACACTGCGGTCAACTCCAGGAGTCTGTTTCAGCATGAAATATTCAGTCGATATATATATATATATATATATATATATATATATATATATATTCGGATCAAATGGGTTTTTTTCCTTACAAAGGGTGACGAAGAATCTTTTTTTAAGTATCTCGAATGTAGAAGATGGAGAAATAAAAAAAACGAACAGAAAAAACAGCCCGTCTTATCAACCATGGATATTCAATAATACAAACTTTACAGTAATTACACACACACACACACACACACACACACACACACACACACACACATATATATATATATATATATATATATATATATATATATATATGGAACCGTCATATAGCCTGAGGTGCTTTTTCGATTTCGCCACAGAGTAGCGTTTCGGTTAGCAATGTCGATATTACTGTTTTTATCATGGAAAATTGTAGTTTAAAAACAGTAAAATCGACATTGCTAACCGATACGCTCCTCTGTGGCTCAATCGGTAAAAGCACGTCAGGCTATATAACGGTTCCATATAGGATACAGTTTCGATTCCTGTCGGAGGACGCATATTTTCTATAACAATTTATCGGACATTCAGGCCGGTGAATGTTGCTAATACTGTTTATTATAAACAGACCATTTACTTAAATATTTGTATCTATAAAAAAGCATGGATAAACATAAAAAATGTCTTACTATATATATATATATATATATATATATATATATATATATATATTCTGTGAGTGGAAACATTTTTCGATGCAATATATACCCAATAGAAGTATAAAAGTAGAAAGAAACAATGCAAGCATTTGGCTGGCTTTCCATTTCTGGGGCTAACGTATGTGAAAACACATCAAACACATCAAACGATAGACATATGCAGGTGAAGAGGACAATTAGATTCGAACGTCAAATGATATTTTAACGAACGCAAGGTGAAACAGTTTGCAGACACGCAGGTTGATTGATCAAAACACAAGGACTCGGGTCGCGTCAACCTAATTATCCCACCATTCCGGTAAGATCGATAAATTCGATACGGGGTTAGGGAAAAAAAGCAGTCATGAGATGTTGAGTTGAAAAGAGCGAACTCTTGGTGAAAATAACGAAACCGGTTGATCGAGTTATCCCTGAAATAGAGAATTATGGTTCGTA